TAGAAGTGGGAGGGCTGAAGCATAGCTTATGGGAAGTAGCCCTCCCGTGAATCATCATTGGCATCAATATAACATTAGCATTATTGCGTCAAAAACTTATAGAAATTAAGGAGTACACAGAAAAATAAAGAAAACTGAAAAAAAAAAAAAAAAAGTTAGTTTCCCCATATTTCGGAGCAGTATAGGTAAGGGAGAAATAGACTGTTATAAAGAGTTTTGAGTATTTTTTCCTCAAGAATGTTCTTAGTATGATACAAAGTACCTATTGTTTTTGACAGTTTAGTCAACAAGCAGTCCTAAAAATGTACATGCACCAACTTTTTCTATCTCAGTATTGCAAATCTGTATAATGCAGTCATTTCTACTCTCAGACTTTGTATTGAATAACATGTCATTTGTTTTGGCCACATTAAGGGATAATTTATTAACTGCAAACCAGTTACATAGTATTTCTAATTCTGCATTCACAATTGTAAAGGTCCCATGACATGGCCATTTCTACTGATCATAATTCCATTGTTGAGGTATACTAAAATAGATTTATATTGTGCAATTTTCCAAACTCACATTGGTTTAGTTTCTCATACAGCATCTCTGTATAGTATGTGTATTCACTCTCTGTCCTAAACGGCTTGTTGGAGCTCCTGCCCCCCCCCTCCCTGTGAGCCCAGTGGCCGTCTGCGAGACAGCGAGACACCGCGGAACTCAGCCTGAGCACACACACAAACTCCCAGCCAGGCTGCGGGTGTGTGTGTGTGTGTGTTTCGGGCTGGGTTTCGTCCGACCCCACACCAGTGAGCCAGCTCACACTGTCCCGCTCCTCGCAGCAGCGAGCCTCGCAACGTCCCGTCGAGTGTGTGTGTGTGAGGAGCCGTTACGTTACGTCATTATACCCAAATAAGTCACTATACCCAAGAAGTAAATAATGGAAAAAGAGAAATCTCCAACGAGGCATTCTGTGGCAGCATAGACAGGTATTTTCTGTGTTAGAGTTTTACTCGCTACAGGGTGTACTTTGAGGGTTTGTGACTCTGCAGACCGTTTACATGCATAAAAAGCTACATAACACACAAGGGGACGGGTAATAACCAGAAAAGCATGACATGGGACCTTTAACAAGATCGCCAAGATTATGATGGGAGCAGAGAATGGTGGTATCATCGGCAAACAAAATTAATTTTAACAGGTCAGAGGTATTGATAATGTCATTAATATAAATCAGAAACAGTTTTGGACCTAATATTGATCCTTGAGGGACTCCACATGTTATAGGAAGCTTGTTTGATTTGACCTCGTCTATATCCACATATTGTAGCCTATTTATCAGATAACTCTTAACCCATTATTTTTGCTTGACCCCTTATGCCATAATGTTCTAATTTGTGTAGCAGTATAGTATGGTTCACAGTATCAAAAGCCTTTTTAAGGTCAATGAATATACCAGCTGTAATCATTTTTTTCTCAATGTTGTTGGTAATTTCTTCAACCAGCTGCTGAAGAAGTAGAGTGATTTTTCTGAAATCCATATTGGCTGGGGCATAGTATATGAAATTTGCTGAGGAATGACTCCAGACGGTTGTTGAAGAGTTTTTCCAGGATTTTTGAAAATTGTGGTAGTAAAGAAATGGGTCTATAGTTGTTAAGACTTGATTTATCACCAGATTTGAACTGATCTTAACTGAATTGATCAACCATTGTTTATCTTATGCAAGGAAATCAGGTATAACACATATACCTCTGTCAGAATTCCATTAAAGTCCTCAAATGTCTGCAGGAATAAGTTAATGGCCCTATACTTCATGTAGAAAAATGTTGTCTTCAAAAGAAGAAAAAACTTTTGTTACCATATGTGTTGATTTGGTGTTTGAGCACTGTTCATAGGAGGCTTTGTACAGCTGGCTTATTCACACTGTGGCAGAATGGCCCATCAAGCCCCCGTAGAGAGGACACATGCTTTGGGTAATCAGCTCTGGAAAAGACCAGACTGTCTGACGATGAACTTACACTGCAGCATTCTCCAAGAGGAAGATAGAAGATACAGACTGTACGACCTTTTAATAAAGACAAGAGGGTTAGCTACTCCCCTTAAAAACAACAAGGTGCCGCGTGACATATGCAGAACAAAGACCTGATTGTTCCTCCACCAGGGCATGATGGAAACAGTAGCCGCCACATCACTAAATCTGTCCCTTTAATGGCTGCTCCCACTGTTCTCACTGTGTGCAATGGTTGTGTGTATGAGATAAAAGTGTACAGGGATAATGTGTATATGGTAGAGTGCGTGGGTGTTGATTCAAGTTTGCTCATCCATGGCTTAGGATACACAGAGGATATTGTAGACTACTGAGTTTGGCTCTGAACCACTTGTTATTAAGTATCCGTTCATCAGGTGGAACCCCACAGGCGTGAGCGGGGCCTCAGAAGGCGTTATATAAGAGTGAGTTTGGCTTAGTTATTCCCTTCTGTGTCTCCAACCAGCCCATATGTCTCCTTGTTTCTCCCGTAATAGGAGCAAGCTCTCGCTGTGAAGGGAATGCAGCAAACTGGAATGTGTTTATGCAGAAACATACTGCTTAATGTACTGCTGAAATGTACCCAGAGCTTGAGCCAGATTGCACAGAAAATTAAGAGGCACTTTTTCAAGGTACTTTTCACCCACTGGGAAACAGACCTCATCCTTGGTACTTGTTCTGTTCTTTCCCTTAATATACTCTTCCTCTTCTCCTTTGATCACAGTTATAGCTTTTGGTTTAAAGCGCTGTTGGAGAGTTACAGGTCACACACTGCCGGAGTTTTCTGATCGGTGCAGGAGATTCTCAGAATGTGTTCCCTCCGATCCTTCTCAGTCCCCACGGGTTAGTGACGAGCTCAGCAGAGTGTAAAGTCTTGAGGGGCCTTTAGCTTTAGTTCCTTCATCGGTGAAGGTTATCTCTGAAAGGCTTTGGTTGCAACCTACAAATATATCCCCTCCAGGTAAAGTCATATAGGCGTCTTGGTTCTGGTACCTGGGTAATCTCTTTAAGGGCCCCACTCCTGGAGAGAGTGAGTTTCTCGCCGGGTAAGCTGTGAATATGTGAAAGGCCCCTGACACCCATGTGATCAGAGTGCTGTGAGACACCCCGAGTCCTGTGGTGTCAAGCCCAGTCTCCAGCCGTGGCACCTATATCCCCAGGCAAATCCCAGCAGCTGGAGTTCACCCTCCCCACCCCAACCTCCTCCTTGTCACAGGAGCGCATTCACACATGCGCACACACGTATATGTTCCCCTGACACACCGGGGGAGCAGGCAGGCATGGAGCTGGTCTCGGATTTTATCGGAGGTGACAGCTCCTCACACTTCAATGTTTGGATCACCTCAAGTAGCTGGGCTATGAGGGGAAATGAGCACTGCTCCACTACAAAGTCCAGATTTAGATTGACTGAGCTTGTCCCCGGGCCTGTGGGCTGCTGCTGCTGCTGCTGCTGCTGCTGTACTGCTCCTCCGTCTGACAGAACACCCACTACTGCTGCGAGGGACTGGTGTGTGTATGTTTGTGTGTACGCCTGCGTTATGTATATGTGTGCATGTGTGTGTGGGACTTGGTGGAGCCTACTTTGAAGAGTCAGAGAGAGTGGGGGAACGAGAGCGATGTGTCAGGTTTGGTTAGAATTGAGGGTGGCATCAGAATATGCTTGGCACTAATATGGCACCAGTATCTCTGTCCCCGTCTCTGCTTTCTGTCACTTAGTTGCCATTCTCTTCCCGCCCTTGACAATGTCTCTTTGGATTATGTGATTGGACTTAGTGCTCGGAGCACCCATCATCCCTCTGCGACACCGCCTCTCCCATAAGTCTCTCCTTTTCTGCCCTGTCTTCGTCCCGGCCCCCTCCTCCTCCCCTAATACACTTGATGTCTATTTAAAAAGCCTGGCGAAAGCTGTATCTGTTTTACTGTCAGAGGATCATTGACAGCACTAATGCCACTTGTCCTTGCCTCATTTGGTGAGAGGTGACACCTAGCTGCAGCCCGGCCACATTCATCAAGTGGCAGGGCTGTGACATCCGCGCAGAGCAGCCACAGAGCGCAGGGCAGCCCCCTCTCTGGACAGCAACACCTCTCATTACGAAAAGAAAACACGGACGGCCATCTTGAATCCCTGCTCTGGGATAAATATAGAGGGCATGTTGCTTCTTTTTAAGAATTTTAACTAATGTATGTACATGAGCAAACATTTGCTCAACTTTTACTATGAGATACATACATCTCAGTAGCTCCGGCACCATAAAATATATTGCATAATTGGTGCACTGAAGAAAGTTTTGAACTCCAAAATGTATCTTTATTATCAAGCATATTTTATAGGTCTAATATGGATAAATGAAAATACCATGCCTGCTAATTATTGAATAATTGTTGCTGTGATGGGTCAGCGTGTGTCTGTGTGGGTGTGTGTGGGTGGCTGGGAGCTTGTTACTGTCAGTCCCTGCCCCGAGGCCACACTGGTCTCTCTTTAGAACAAGATGCTCTTATTTCCCAGCAGTACCTCCCAGCCTACAGTTCATGCCTGCCATTTGAAGCTAGACCCTTTGGATTTATTGTACAGTGTTAAAAAAAACATGTCTTTGTTTGCTTTGGACGTGTTTTACTGAAATTCATCGTGTTTGTCCTTAAGGTCCAACGAATTAAACGCAGGTAATACATCCTAAAATGTTGTTTTTAAATGTCTCTATATTGGTACATTGTTTATAGATCCCTTGAGAGGTCTCGCCCTACAGGTTCGGGAACATTGCTGCTCATCTATAAATTATACACTGCTATTATATATGTGAATATGGCAAGAAACTAGGGACTGGTAATGTCTAGTTGTTGTTTTTTCAGTTTGTTTCTAAAATATACCAAGAGTTACAGTGCTAATCCTGATAGAAAAGGAGGTTAATTCATTCAAATGTATTTATTTTGTCAATTTCTCAGTTGTTGTACACGCTACAAGCTCAATTGACTGTCTCCCTCTGTTTTTAGGGATATTCGCCAAGTGTCGCTACGTCTACTACGGCAAGCACTCAGAAGGCAACAGATTTATCCGAAACGACCAACTCTGATGGACAGCCGCTGAAGAAAAAAGAGTGACAAGAGATGTTACCTGAAGGAAAGAGAAGAAAATTAATCTATTTATTAAAGACTGGTGATATTTGAGTTACTTGATCTCCCACTGGAAAAAAAAGATTTAAAGTTCAAGTTTGCATTCCAGCCCTATAGTTACGGCCCTCTCTGCTGAGCTGGGTCTGATTCTGCTTTCCTGCTTCCAGCTCAGAGTCAGAGATGACACTCCCACTGACATGATTGCCTCTAAGCATCAGCATCCGCACAACTACAGACACACACACAAGCACACAAGCACGCAAAGACAGCATCTCTCTTTCTTTCTTCTCTATTCTTTTCAGTGACAAACACACCCAAACAATTGCATCCTTTTCTTTGACAGCCATGATGGATCACCCGTCCACTATGCCACTAATCAAGGGTGAAAGGGGTGACGGTCACACACCTGGGGCTTGACATGGACTCATCTCTCTTGTGCTCTCTTTCTCTCTCCCCCTCTGTCTCCATTTCTCACACACACACACACACACACACACACACATATAACTGCTGTTTAAAACATTTAAGGCATAAACATGTTTATAAAGCCGTGTTAAACTTTGTGTTTTAGTCCAAACTTAAAGGGGACCTATCATGCAAAATGCACTTTGTGATGTCTTTTATACATAAATATGTGTCCCCGGTGCATCGGGGAACTCACGCAGTGTCAGAAAATAAAACCCTCTCTCTTTTCCTCCGTACCCACATCTTTTTAAAACGGGTGTACAACGAGTGGATACAGATTTCCATCCGAACTGCCGTGTCCATCCGTGGTGACGTCGGCGGACCCACAGAAAGTTGCTATCAGAAACAATGCCTGACGTGTTTTGGACATCTTTGTTTACATTAGCAAGCCTCGCTAACACTCAGAGCTAACCTGTACTGGAGAGCACATGTGTTTAAAAAGCAGGAAATAAAAAAGAACTCACCTTGTGATAAAAAGCATTTGAGCTCCATACTATTTCAGAAATAATCCTTGATGTGGTTCAAACAGGATGGCGTTTTATCACAACCGAATTTAACTTTATCTCCGGTAGAATTCTGATCAGGCATTAGCTCCGCCTCCTCTTATTTATTTTTTTCTAGCCAAGGACCCAAAATCTGCGTTTCTCTAACAGGGCTGCAAAAGAGGGGTTTGAGCAGTATGAGGCATGGCTACAATGGGTGAACTGTTTGGTATTTTTGAAAAAAAAACTTCACATATGTTTTATATAGGTATGGCCATGCAATATATGTTTCAAATATAGCATGATAGGTCCACTTTAAGGCAAGCTCAGTCTATCTTGTTAAGTTTGTGTCAGACTGAAGAATGCTTTTCCCTCTTTTGTTTGAATGAATTTGATCTGTTTCTCTTAGAGAAAATGAGCCATGATTTGGTCAGTTTCTGTTGCAGGTGTGTACTGTATGTTAAAGCACATGTGTAAATAGGTATTCAATGCAGCTTTTAATGTATAAACATTTCAATACCAGCTTCAAAGAAGAACAGAGTTGTAACCTAGGGTCCTTCTCAGGTCGATTATTTTAATTTCCTCGCTCCTCGCTCCTCGGTATCACCGGAAGTTGATTTGTCTGCGCTATATGGGCATAGATATGTCTCATAATTATTTGTTGGAACATACAAATAATTTGTGTGTAAATATGTGATTTGTAACGGAGCGTCCACACTACAGCTTCAAAAAAAGCTTGGAGCTGGGCGTGTCTGAAGCTTGGGGATTGTATTCGAGCAACGCGACCAACAACCAATCACATGAATCTCCCGCCCCCGACATACAAAGCAAAATACCCCGGGGATTTTATGCGAGCAATATATATAAACTCCCCAAACAGGCGAAAACCTACCAGTTTCACCCACTGTCTCTGCCACCTCCCTCCATGACTGGTTCTTCCGGTTTGTATCCCGGTAGGTGAAGAGGGTCTGGTCAAACAAAACCGGGTGATTTGCTACGGCGATAATTAGTTTCTCCTCCATCTTTTTTTGAAATATAGAAATGAACTGTGGGATATCTCTCCCAGCTTAGACGCGGTTTGATTGACTAGCGCTTGAGCTATCATATTTTCAGAAACGGGTTTTGATTGGCTGGCGCTGTCTACTCCGGCGTCTCCGGAGATGGATCGCTATGCTACCCACAATTCAGTTCGGTGAAAAGCGAGGCAAGGTGACGTCACCCCATTCAAAGTGAATGGGCAGACGCGTTGGAAACCGTTTTTGAAGCTGTCGAAGCTGTAGTGTGGACGGCCCGTAAATGTAAAACACCATCCACAAATGCATTTAAAAGATTTGCAAACTCACAAATAAATTTGCAAATGTAAAACGGATCTGCAAATACGCTAAATATTTTCACAAATAAAAAAAAGATCTGTGAATATCTCTTTAACATTTACAACTTTCGATCAGGCATTTGTGAATCCATTTTGTATTTGTCGACCAAAAATGCGCTTGCGGATCTCAAATCTCTGCTTGTGGATCTCACATTTCTGCTTGTGCATCGTCTTTTTACACACACGGAATTTTGAGACATATTTTCCGCCGGTCTTTTCTAAAATCTACTCGTGTCACTCGGTTATTTTCGGAAACCACGTGATGTCCTTCTGATGACGACATTTCCGCATGATTTCAAAGTAAGAGCAAAGAGCATGATGGTTTGTTTAATGCTCTGTTTTTTTATTATAATGAACAGCGGAACGTTAGATGCATTCTTTTGCACTATTTTAAATATATATTTTAGAATTATTGTATGATCACTATGGTTTATGGTGCACTGTTCATGTGTTTATTATAATGTTTAATGTGCAACAACCTGAGGTAACTGCTATGATATGTTACCATCTAGTTACCGTTCTACAGGCAACCTTCCATTCTGAAACTTGCACATGTATAATGTGATTTGGATTATCTGATATGAGATTGCCTTTGCTGGATGTCTTCAAGTGATTAAAAGGGTTCAACTAAGGTGTCTGTTGTCAATTCGCTGTTATAAGCTTGACCCAAGTCTCATTGGTAAACAGGTACATTTTCTCTTAAACCTTATACTTCAGTATACTAACAAAGGAGCATACAATTGGATAAATAAGACTTTACACTGCACAAGATGTATGAGGGTTTGAAAATTGATTATTTTTTTAGTGGGAATGCTGATACAGCATTCCAACTATCTGTTCTTCAACGCACACAATTCTTTATTATTCCGCCGGGTTATTTTGCACCTCTTCTTCTCCCACATTCCACATCGCAGAAACTCCGTTCGAACATCAAAACGTTCAGCTCGGTCGGGAATCGATTGCTATTACTTTTCTCATTCATAACTTTCATAATCCCAGAGATACATCCCATAATTCATCACATTTTTAACATAGAAGTCAATGGAGAAACTCTTCAGACTTGAACAATCTTCATTCAACTTCAACTGCCAACTGCTCTTTCATAATTTCACTCAGAAATCATTCCAACTTTAAAATGTTACACATCTTTCTGACATTATTCATTAACACAACTGATTCATACTTTTAGAGATATTAAACATTATTCAGACTTTGGTAAAGAGGCCTTCTTCAGATTTTAGAGTGTGTGATGTCACAGCTAAAGTGGAGGACAGATTTAATTTAGCCTCTGGTTAATCTGCCAAAAAGGCCACATTATTAACACGAAAGTACACAAAAAGTACACTTTAGATGCTCAAGTTCATTGAGATGCTTTCACCGATATCTGTTACGGTTCTTCAACAAAACTTTCACATGTAAGAGGTTTTTCTCTCAATCAGAACAATGAAAATGCTCTCCTCTCACTGATTACTGCACATCACCATGGAAACCTTTGATCTCTGGACACGTCGTTAGCTCAAATATAAACACCTGTGTCATGGAACACGATGATGTCATAACTCCAACTGACATGCTCAGAGCAGCAGACTTCAGATAATGGTTAACACAGCTCTACGTTAATTATGGGGTGTCATCATATGCCGTTTCCATTGAAACCCTCGCCATAAAGCAAGATGTCGATGTAACTCCAATGGACACGGTCCGATCGTTCCCCAAACTTCGCTTGTATATCACCGGTCCATGCCTCAACAGCTCTATGCCAAATCTGAGATCTCACCATAGGATGTTGCCATGGAAACGCATCCCCTGCCATAAAACATGATGTTGTTGTGATACCTATGCAAATGGTCTAAAACAGCACCAGACTTCAGATAATGGTTAATGGTCCGGCCCTCAACAGCTCTATGTCAATTATGGGGTGTCATCATATACTGTTTCCATGGAAACACATCCCTCGCCATGAAACACGATGTCGCTGTAACTCCAATGGACACGGTCCGATCGTCCCCAAACTTCGCTTGTATATCACCGGTCCATGCCTCAACAGCTCTACGCCAAATCTGAGATCTCACCATAGGTTGTTTCCATAGAAACGCATCCCTTGCCGTAAAACACGATATTGCTATAACTCCTATGAAAATGGTCAAAAAGTGCTCAAACTTCACGTGTGCTAGCAGTCCAGCCTTGAAGACATCTACGAGACAGTTTTGAAATGTCTTCAAATGCCGTTGCCATGTTAACACAATGCTCGCTATGAAACACGGTTTTCTCATAACTTCAGTGAAAAGGCTCCAAACGGCCCAAAACTTCACAGGTTTGGTAACGATGCAGCCATCAAAACATATAAGCGTATTATTGGGTGTCATCAAATACTGTTGCCATGGCGACAGATCATTCGTCATCAAGTTAGTTCAATAGTTTACAGTTCAAATATTCTGCTGCTTTTTCAAGCTTTTTTACTTTATTTTCTTCTCTTATCACACATTCAAGCCCCCAGTGTTCATGTGTCATTTCAATCTAAATTCTTCACTTTCTTCTTACACATTACATTTCAGAATAGCAATTCAGCGTCAGCTTTTCAGCATAAGGCATTCCCACTAGCAATGATGATGTTGTTAAACATTCCTCTATTAGGGAGGCATGTGAAAAAGTGTGCATCACATTAATAATATGTTCCTGCCAAAAGAGTCAATCAGCATTTTAATAGTCCTGTGTTTATTCATCAATACAACCATAAAAAAGGCAAGGCAAGGCAAGTTTATTTATATAGCACTTTTCAACACAAGGCAATTCAAAGTGCTTTACAAAAAATGAAAGACATTAAGAAAATGGCATTTCAAATCAGTCATTAAAAAGAAAAGATAATAAAATAAACATTAAAAGAAAAAATACGTGGATAAAAGTTACAGTGCAGTCTAAGATATGAATAGTTCAATTAAACATTCAAATAAAAAGTACATGGATAAAAGTTACAGTGCAGTCTAAGATATGAATAGTTCAATTAAAAACAGCGACAAAAAGAAAAGTCTTCAGCCTGGATTTAAAAGTAGTCAGAGTTGCAGCGGACCTGCAGGTTTCTGGGAGTTTGTTCCAGATATTTGGAGCATAATAACTGAACGCTGCTTTACCATGTTTAGTTCTGACTCTGGGGACAGAAAGCTGACCAGTCCCTGAAGACCTGAGAGATCTGGATGGTTCATAATTTAGCAGGAGGTCAGAAATGTATTTTGGGCCTAAACCATTCAGTAAACCAGCAGCAGTATTTTGAAATCTATTCTTTGACACACAGGAAGCCAGTGTAAAGACTTCAGAACAGGAGTGATGTGATCCACTTTCTTAGTGTTAGTGAGGACTCGAGCAGCGGCGTTCTGAATCAGCTGCAGCTTCCTAATATATTTTTTAGTGAGACCTGTGAAGACACCATTGCAGTAGTCGAGTCTACTGAAGATAAAAGCATGGACAAGTTTTTCCAAATCCTGCTGTGACATTAGTCTTTTAATCCTAGATATATTCTTTAGGTGATAGTAGGCTGATTTAGTAACTGTTTTAATGTGACTGTTGAAACTCAGGTCAGAGTCCATGACTACACCTAGAT